TAATTTCTGTATTTTTGGTAGAGATGGGGTTTCACCATGTTGGCCAGGCTGGTCTCGTACTCCTGGCCTCAAGTGATCTGCCCTCCTTGGCCTCCCAAAGTGCCGGGATTACAGGTGTGAGCCACCGTGCCCAGCCTAGACTCTTGTTTGCAACCAGGGGGTGTTTGATTAAACCTTTTTTGGAACACTCTTTCAACTCTCAAGGTATCTACGTATCCATTCTATAAAGCCTGGGCCCTCCATTTATTTATTAATGAAGTGTGAAAATTAGTGCTTTTGTTTCTATGGCATAACAATTGCCAAGCCAATGCTGTAACGCGTGAAATGCTGGAGAAAAGAAGAGGGCCCTTAAAAAGAAGCCGTGCTCTGTTTAACTTCCACACATTTTTAAATATTTTATGTTAAACACTGAGTAGGTGTAAATTAAACAGAATTGAAGAGGGGAGGGAGACTGCAGAACTGGTCTTTTTTAGTTAAGGTTGTGTTGACTGCTATTTTAAATTTCAACTATAGTTTGTAGATAAAAGATATGTAATGTACTATAGCAGAGTAGCAAAGAAGGAATGTTTTGAAGTTAGGCTGAGTGAGTTCAAACCAGCCTCATTCAGCTGTCACTTGGTAGATTTGTGACCCTGGGAAAATTGCTCAACGTCTCTGTGTGTCAGTTGCCTCATCTGTGAAATGAGGATAATTGTAGTAATGCGCACTTGGGACTCTTGGAAGATTAGATGAGATATGTATATAATGCATTTAGCATAGGGCCTCGCATGCTGAAAGCGCTCAGTCAAGGCTGAATGGTTGTCATAGGAGGACAGAAGAGGATGGCCCCCAGCAGTATTTGCAGAGGTTATTCCAAGCTCGCCAGTTACAGCTTTTCATTGCTTCCATTTCTTAGTAAATTCTAGTTAATGATTTTGTACATATTGCCTTCCTCATGGGAACACGTGGGGAAAGGCTTCTGCACCCTTACAAACGATCTAGTATTTTCTCCTTTGAGAAAGATTGTAAGTAATTGCTCCCAACCACCTTCGACAGTGTTTTTCCACTAGCAGGAAGGTTTTTTTCCCCACTCAGTTGGAAAATGTATAGTGACATTTCAGTGTGGTTAGATATATAAAAATACTGCTTTCAACCAACTGTAATTAATTGAGGGAGACATGCAGACAAGGTGCCTTTTGAAAAAGCGCAGAGCT